TTCCAATGTTCTTTCATGTTACAATTAATATATAGTTTTATGAATGAAAAACAACTATTGAAAACCTTTTGCTCCTGAATGTCATTTTCAAGACTGCTGGGATTAAAAATCTTGCATTATTCAAATAATATTTAGTGCAATTGTACATCATGGATTGTGTGGAAAAGGAACAACAAAGAAAGAACAAAGAAAATGTGCAGGTGAGTTAAAAAGAGGGACTTTACATAAAATCTCCTCATAGTGAATATATTAATGGTGATGTGCAACACCATTTCCCCCCACCCCCACCCCATATTTTATTAAAATAATTAAAATAAATCAAATTGTCTAGCGTATTTTGTTTTGTCGACATTTGGAAAGTTTACAGACACATTTTCTGTTTCCATTCAAGCATGTCATGACATTTTTTTACCCGACATGTAGCCTACTTTACTTGCATAAAAAGGTTGGATGGAAATCTGGTTACAAGCTACAGTGGCTTGCGAAAGTATTCACCCCCCTTGGCATTTTTCCTATTTTGTTGCCTTACAACCTGGAATAAAAATTGATTTTTGGGGGGTTTGGATCATTTGATTTACACAACATGCCTACCACTTTGAAGATTTAAAATATTTTTTCTTGTGAAACAAACAAGAAATAAGACAAAAAAACAGACAACTTGAGCGTGCATAACTATTCACCCCACCAAAGTCAATACTTTGTAGAGCCACCTTTTGCAGCAATTACAGCTGCAAGTCTCTTGGGGTATGTCTCTATAAGCTTGGCACATCTAGCCACTGGGATTTTTGCCCGTTCTTAAAGGCAAAACTGCTCCAGCTCTTTCAAGTTGGATGGGTTCCGTTGGTGTACAGCAATCTTTAAGTCATACGTGGTCCCGTGTAGCTCAGTTGGTAGAGCATGGCGTTTGCAACGCCAGGGTTGTGGGTTCGATTCCCACGGGGGGCCAAAATGCAATTTGCAATCAGTACAAAAAGACCTGCAGCGACTGACCTTACTTCCAGAGTCCTTGGTTCCACATTTACCCTTATCATACCACCATTTGTTTTTCAGCTTGTCTAAGATGCCTTGTTCACTGAGTTTCAATACTGCAAGGTTTAGATAATTTCTTCACGTGGGAAATAACATCAATAACATTATATTATGTTATTTTATGTTATTCAAACTTTAAACTACTTCATACTTTACAAAGCGATAGAGCAGGGTCCTGGCCAACACAACACAGAGAGCAGGCAAAACGAACTGTTACCTTTCATACACCAGGACTAACCCGTACCGTACCAGACCCTACCTGTATCGCTTTGAGTAATCGGCACACACTGTTCAAAAAAGTACTTACGATTGGGACTAGCAGAATGAGTAGCTACTGTAATATAGCTCTATATGTACATAAAATAGGATCTAACAGGAACCCTTTCATGACTAACAGACAAACAAAAACTAGCAGTCCGATTTTGTTCTAGCTGAGGGCAGCCAACACCTCACAAAATACAGCCCTTCACTGGACATGCATCCACACAGCCACCTAGAAATCCCACTTGCATAGGCCTATATATACTGTGCAATTACAATCAATCAAATGCAACATTGAGAACTACAAGAGAGCGGTAGATCTAAATTGGAGTAATATGGAATTGTAGCCAATCTGGTTTTCTATCGTATCAATATATACCAATATATTGATTATATGTAGCTCTGTGGCTGCATGATTAGTGGTATATAGCTACTTTTTTAAACTTCTAATTGCAATGAGATCACTAAAATCTACAGGTAGATTTGAATGAATAAGACTAAGAAATGTAAAAGCTAAACAGTTTCTAATGAGTCCTCAAGTAGGGCGTTATGTTTGTAAGACATTATGCTGTCTACATGACTGCTCGATTTCTGTGTTTACTTTCTTTCTGAAAAATGATCATGGTTTGTAATTTAATTTCATTAAATATATTGTATTCACCACTGTAGTCTGCTTCATGCATAATAGCATAATATTTACATAAAAAAGGAGTGTAAAGAATGTGAGGTTATTTGATCTTATCTGGCTATATGGCTTATTTTTACAGCAATTTAGCCAACATACTTTGACAACATTTATGGTTCACAGCAAGTCTCAGAAAATAACTATGTAAACAGGAATGAGGTTAGTAACAGCAGCTTTGGACAAATAGTACTGTCTCCTGCTCATACTGAGCTGTTGCTTTGACATGGCAAGTCACATCGGGCAAGGTTCCAGTACTGGTACAGTGGCTTGCGAAAGTATTCACCCCCTTGGCATTTTTCCAATTTTGTTGCCTTACAACCTGTAATTAAAATTGATTTTGGGGGGGGTTTGAAGATGCTAAATATTTTTTGTGTGAAACAAACAAGAAATAAGACAAAAAAACAAAACTTGAGCGTGCATAACTATTCACCCCCCCCCAAAGTCAATACTTTGTAGAGCCACCTTTTGCAGCAATTACAGCTGCAAGTCTCTTGGGGTATGTCTCTATAATATAAGCTTGGCTCCTTCAAGTTGGATGGGTTCTGTTGGTGTACAGCAATCTTTAAGTCAAACGTGGTCCCGTGTAGCTCAGTTGGTAGAGCATGGCGTTTGCAACGCCAGGGTTGTGGGTTCGATTCCCACGGGGGGGCCAGTATGAAAATGTATGCGCTCACAAACGTAAGTCACTCTGGATAAGAGCGTCTGCTAAATGACTAAAATGTAAAACCACAGATTCTCAATTGGATTGAGGTCTGGGCTTTGACTAGGCCATTCTAAGACATTTAAATGTTTCCCCTTAAACCACTTGAGTGTTGCTTTAGCAGTATGCTTAGGGTCATTGTCCTGCTGGAAGGTGAACCTTCGTCCCAGTCTCAAATCTCTGGAGACTGAAACAGATTTCCCTATATTTAGTGCCATCCATCATTCCTTCAATTCTGACCAGTTTCCCAGTCCCTGCCGATGAAAAATATCCCCACAGCATGATGCTGCCACCACCATGCTTCACTGTGGGGATGGTGTTCTCGGGGTGATGAGAGGTGTTGGGTTTGCGCCAGACATAGTGTTTTCCTTGATGGCCAAAAAGCTCAATTTTAGTCTCATCTGACCAGAGTACCTTCTTCCATATGTTTGGGGAGTCTCCCACATGCCTTTTGGTGAACACGAAACGTGTTTGCTTATTTGTGTCTTTAAGCAATGGCTTTTTTCTGGCCACTCTTCCGTAAAGCCCAGTGGAGTGTATAGCTTAAAATTGTCCTATGGACAGATACTCCAATCTCTGCTGTGGAGCTTTGCAGCTCCTTCAGGGTTATCTTTGTTCTCTTTGTTGCCTCTATGATTAATGCCTTCCTTGCCTGGTCCGTGAGATTTGGTGGGCGGCCCTCTCTTGGCAGGTTTGTTGTGGTGCCATATTCTTTCAATTTTTTTAATAATGGATTTAATGGTGCTCCGTGGGATGTTAAAAGTTGTGGATATTTTTTTATAACCCAACCCTGATCTGTACTTCTCCACAACTTTGTCCCTGACCTGTTTGGAGAGCTCCTTGGTCTTCATGGTACCGCTTGCTTGGTGGTGCCCCTTGCTTAGTGGTGTTGCAGACTCTGGGGCCTTTCAGAACAGGTGTATATATACTGACATCATGTGACACTTAGATTGCACACAGGTGGACTTTATTTAACTAATTATGTGACTTCTGAAGGTAATTGGTTGCACCAGATCTTATTTAGGGGCTTCAAAGCAAAGGGGGTGAATATATATGCACACACCACTTTTCCGTTATTCATTTTTTAGAATTTTTTGAAACAAGTTATTTATTTTCAGTTCACTTCACCAATTTGGACTATTTTGTAAAATAAAATAAAAAATAAAAATCCATTTAAATTACAGGTTGTAATGCAACAAAATAGGAAAAACGCCAAGGGGGATGAATACTTTTGCAAGGCACTGTAGGTTTCCATCCACTTGGCGACAGATTTTCATGCGAAAACAAAAAACTATATGCACATTTTCCCACCAGAGATATTTCCATCAAATTGACTTTTTGTAAATAACAGTCTGTGCGTTATAACGTAGTGCACATAAAAATAACTTTTGCGTTAAATTCCCATAAGAAGAAATGTTGTGTTATAGCAAATCTCTGGTCTTGGCAGGGTGCGCTCTAGCCAACATAAAGAGAGAGAGATTGTTTTTATTTGTCAAATGGCAGCCGAGCATTGATCCTGTCACCAGAATAAGACCCTCTATATTTATTGGAAAGGAGCATCAAGCTCGTCACCCTGTGAAGTTCATCATAACTTATTTAATCTAGTCAAATAAACTGCATGCTTTCCCAAGTCATAGTGGGAGGACCACACAATATAATTGAGTGAGTTTTTACTTCGATATTATCCCATTTAGACATGACCACTCGGCAGAGGCTAGTGGAACCAAAGATTATCTATTATATTGACAAGATTGCCGAGTGACCGAACTAACAATTGAAATACATGTTCTCATGAAGACAGGCGAGATCGGGTGGGACCATTCTAGCCAATGAGAGGGCAGATACGCGTGTGAACAACTGGCACAATTATGGGTGTGTTCGTAAATCTGTAGTGCCAGAGTACGCTCTGGGCGTTCTTAAATTCAGAGGGGTTGTCAGATTGTCCGTTCGTAAATTCATCAGTTATTCTGCACACTCAGACGAGAGTGCTCTGAAATCGGAGTAGATGGCCAAAGTGAATTTTTCTCAAAGTTGCCGGAATGCCACGTACATCCACTTAAATCAGTACATTTGTAACAGTCTAAACATTAGGAAATTAGCCTCACGTAATTCGAAACTCTCTCATAGACCTCCATACAAAAAAATGGCTTGTCTCATGAGGACAGATTTTTGGCCTAAATCCTCTCGTTTCGCCTCTTCCTCTGTAGTGGAACTTAATCGCTCAGTCTTGTTTTGTTCTCTGATTGGCTTATGTGTTTCAAAATGCAAAGTCCCGGGCACTGATGGTGTGTCATGATTGGCTTATCTTTCTTTCTTTGTAGTTGGCCGCATCCGGTCTGAATGACGACGCCGCGGATACAAAAAAGAGAAAGGGAAAAAAGCTAGGACAATTGCTAGCTACTAGCTAGTTAAGAACAGCGGGAAACATTTTTACATTTTACTCTTGTTTTTATATTTTGCGGATCCTTTATCAGTATTTTTGACTACCGATGTCAAGTAACTTGTGTTAGCTAGCCAACAGAGAGCGATGATAGATATTTGAGAATATTTAGCTGTTTATTTAGCATTAGCCTAGCTAACTATTATTAGCTAGCTAGCTACATGCTTAGATAACTAGCTACCGAGGAAATAGTTAGACAGCACACTGTCTAGGTGACTAGCTATTTCACTCTATTTGTTTTTATCTGTGACATTTTGTTCATCTTGATGAGAATGGCAACAACGGCCCTGTACGCGTGTACGAAGTGTAACCAGCGGTATCCGTTCGAAGAACTGTCGCAGGGACAGCAGCTGTGCAAGGTTTGGACTGGAAGTGTGTGGGTGCTAGCTAGTTGTGGGTACCTGCTAGTTAGTTAGCCCAAAATCTGGCAATATGAATAGTTTAGTTAACTAACGTTACTGTACTACTACAGATGTATACGTGTTTAGACTGCTACCGAGATGTGGAATTATAAGGTCTCTGGCCACATTCAGCCCTTATAGTAAGTGATAACTTTGATAGATTATGTAACCGCTACATCATTGCAAATGGCAACCTTTTTAGCTAGATAATATCACACGCAGGATGGGGACGATACAATGTATCCGCGAATTGTTTTCTCACCTAAGTGTCTGCTGGGTGTAACAGTCAAAATAACGTCAGATAAACATTGGTTAACTAGTTATTTTCACATTTCATCGCCCATGACCTGTTAGTTTGTCATTAGTTTACACGTCATGCCCCTTACAAACAAGTCTATTTTATCATCAATGTAACCTCAGTGTCTTTAACAACCGGCATCTACAACATTGAATTCCAGGGGGCTCAGTCTGTGTAGCTTTCCACCTCGGCCTGTAGGGTAGGCTATGTTCCACATACATTCATAATGGATGGGCAAAAATCGAGTTATAATTCCAGTGGCAAATTATTACATTTTAATACATTTTGCTATTCATGCTGGTGCGTTGTAAATACTTATTCCCATTTTCTTTCTAAAATTAGCAGCCGAAATTGTCGCAACCCCTATTACTAGCCTTTCGTAACGTCTGAGATCCCCAGAGATTGGAAAGCTGCCGTGGTCATCCCCCTCTTCAAAGGGGGTGACACTCTAGATCCAAACTGTTACAGACCTATATCCATCCTGCCCTGCCTTTCGAAAGTTTTTGAAAGCCAAGTTAACAAACAGATCACCGACCATTTCGAATCCCACAGTACCTTCTCCGCTATGCAATCCGGTTTCCGAGCTGGTCATGGGTGCACCTCAGCCACGCTCAAGGTCCTAAACGATATTATAACCGCGATCGATAATAGACAGTACCGTGCAGCCGTCTTCATCGACCTGGCCAAGGCTTTCGACTCTGTCAACCACCGCATTCTTATTGGCAGACTAAATAGCCTTGGTTTCTCAAATGACTGCCTCGCCTGGTTCACCAACTACTTCTCAGATAGAGTTCAGTGTGTCAAATCGGAGGGCCTGTTGTCTGGACCTATGGCAGTCTCTATGGGGGTGCCACAGGGTTCAATTCTCGGGCCGACTCTTTTCTCTGTGTATATCAATGAGGTCGCTCTTGCTGCTGGTGACTCTCAGATCCACCTCTACGCAGACGACACCATTTTGTATACATCTGGCCCTTCATTGGACACTGTGTTAACAAACCACAAAACGAGCTTCAATGCCATACAACACTCCTTCCGTAGCCTCCAACTGCTCTTAAACACTAGTAAAACTAAATGCATGCTCTTCAATCAAACGCTGCTGGCACCCGCCCACCCGACTAGAATCACTACTCTCGGCGGGTCTGACCTAGAGTATGTGGACAACTACAAATATCTAGGTGTCTGGTTAGACTGTAAACTATCCTTCCAGACTCACATTAAGCATCTCCAATCCAAAGTTAAATCTAGAATCGGCTTCCTATTTCGCAACAAAGCCTCCTTCACTCATGCTGCCAAACATGCCCTCGTTAAACGGCCTATCCTACCGATCCTTGACTTCGGCGATGTCATTTACAAAATAGCCTCCAACACTCTACTCAGCAAATTGGATGTAGTCTATCACAGTGCCATCCGTTTTGTCTCCAAAGCCCCATAAACTACCCACCACTGTGACCTGTACGCTCTTGTTGGCTGGTCCTCACTACATATTCGTCGCAAAACCCACTGGCTCCAGGTCATCTATAAATCACTGCTAGGCAAATCCCCGCCTTATCTTAGCTCATTGGTCACCATAGCAACACCCACCCGTAGTATGCGCTCCAGCAGGTATATCTCACTGGTCATCCCCAAAGCCAACACCTCCTTTGGCCACCATTCCTTCCAGTTCTCTGCTGCCAATGACTGGAACGAATTGCAAAAATCTCTGAAGCTGGAGACTCTTATCTCCCTCACTAACTTTAAGCATAAGTTGTCAGAGCACCTTAACGATCACTGCACCTGTACACAGCCCATCTGGAATTAGCCCACCCAACTACCTCATCCCCATATTGTTATTTATTTTGCTCATTTGCACCCCAGTAGCTCTATTTGCACATCATCTGTTGCACATCTATCATTCCAGTGTTAATACTAAATTGTAATTATTTTGCACTATGGCCTATTTATTGCCTTACCTCCATAACTTGCTACATTTGCGCACACTGTATATATATATTTCTGTTTTATTTTTGACTTTATGTTTTGTTTATCCCATATGTAACTTTGTGTTGTTGTTTTTTATCGTACTGCTTTGCTTTATCTTGGCCAGGTCGCAGTTGTAAATGAGAACTTGTTCTCAACTGGTTTACCTGGTTAAATAAAGGTGGGAGAAAAAAAAAAAAATATTGCCTTAAGCACACCACCACACATGTTTTCAAGCATTCTGCCCAGAATGTCTAAATAAAAGCTGCATTGGAAGCACACTTCCCATTCATGACAAATAATAATGAGTAATTGTAAACAAATGCACAACACTAAATAAAGGCATACAAAGGGGTTTTGACAGTTAGGACAACTCATGATTTAGGGTTTAGTTAATTCTTAGTGTTATTGCCTACATTTTTTGTTTTTTACATGTTTTTTTAAAAAATTGTCCTTGAAAGAGCTGAATAAACTCTACAACAGATGAATCACTAATGCTTTGTTTCTTGTGTCAACAGGAGTGTCGCATCGCTCATCCCATCGTCAAGTGTACATACTGCAGATCAGAGTTTCAGCAGGAGAGGTGAGTTCTGCTCCAGCACCTTTACTGTGCATGTACATGGTATTCTAATTCCGTTCTTAAGGCATCACCATGTAATATAGTGAAAACATTGGTTCCAGGACATGATGTGATTTGTCTTTCCCATTCTTTATTCCAGCAAAACAAACACCATTTGCAAGAAGTGTGCCCAGAATGTAAAGCAGTTTGGGACGGTACGTTTGACTTGAATCATCTGTTATAATTGTACAGTATGTATTGATTGAATCAGTTCTGGTTATGTTTGCCAAATTGTCTGCAAAAGCAGGTTGAAACAGTCTTCTGTTGTTTCCCACGCAGCCCAAACCCTGCCAATACTGTAACATCATTGCTGCTTTCATCGGGACAAAGTGTCAGCGTTGCACCAACTCAGAGAAGAAGTATGGCCCTCCACAGACCTGCGAGCAGTGCAAACAACAGTGCGCATTTGACCGCAAGGAGGAGGGCAGGAGAAAGGTAGGCACAGACACCTGCTGCATTGATACCCTGACACACATGTTTTCCAACACTCTTGAGGTTGCGTATTCACCATCCTCCACTGTCCTGTGTGTGTTATGTCAGGTGGATGGGAAACTGCTGTGCTGGCTGTGCACTCTGTCTTACCGCCGTGTGCTGCAGAAGACCAAGGAGCAGAGGAAAGGCTTCAGCTCCTCCCACTCCAACTCCTCGCTCAACGAGAAGGACCACCACTCCAGACAGCACCATCACCACCAGCAGCACAGACACAGCAGCTCAAACAAGTAGGCCCTGGCGCCACAGCCCTCTCCTCTACATATTAGGCCATTACATCCTCTGTAATGCAGGTCTCTGTATATGTATTGTGCTGATCAGGCACTTTTTGGAAGGATGTAGTGGTCTGAGTAATGATGCATGTGTCATATCGGAAGGAACATCTTAGAAAGATTAAATCTGACATAACTTGGTGTTTGTGTGTGTTTTCTTGTCTGTGTGTTATAGACTCAGTGGGAGCCTAAGTCCAGAGCAGGAGCAGGGAATGTGGAAGCAGAGGTGACTTACCACCTCCCTCTTTCTGAATCACATTCCCCAGTGTTGTTTGACTTATGACAAGCCCATTTGTGTAGTTATGCAACGTATTTGAACTATGGTGTACTCTGGGACACGTTCCGTGTCTGATGAAGCCTCGGTGGCTAAAGTTGTGTGTTGGTTCTCCCCTCAGCCATAAATCGTCTTTGATCCAGAAGGAGACCCCAAAGAAGAAACCAAAACTGGAGATGAAGCCATCCAACGGGGACAGGTACGAGAGGAGTTTCAATCACATGTAAGGAGTTACAAACTGGTTCTAACTTTTGAAGTAAACATGGCCGAACATCCAGTATGTTCCTACTGACACTTTGTTTTGGCCTTCTTGGTTCTAACACACATCTCTGTGATGGTTGCCAACAAGGTGGTGTTGGAGCAGGTAATGGTACAAAGTTGGTCAGTGTGAAAAATATCTGCATCCAGGTACTTTCCTTTTTCTGCCACCCTAACTTTTTTCTTCCCTACTCTCTCCATGCAGTAGTTCCATCACCCAATCTATGGATTCTGGAGGAACGGACAACTTCATTCTGATCAGCCAGCTGAAAGAGGAAGTGATGTCATTAAAGAGAATGCTTCAGCAGAGGGATCAGACAATACTGGAGAAGGACCGAAAGGTACACGCCTAACTATCATTATATATATATATATATATATACACTGCTCAAAAAAATAAAGGGAACACTTAAACAACACAATGTAACTCCAAGTCAATCACACGTCTGTGAAATCAAACTGTCCACTTAGGAAGCAACACTGATTGACAATACATTTCACATGCTGTTGTGCAAATGGAATAGACAACAGGTGGAAATTATAGGCAATTAGCAAGACACCCCCAATAAAAGACTGGTTTTGCAGGTGGTGACCACAGACCACTTCTCAGTTCCTATGCTTCCTGGCTGATGTTTTGGTCACTTTTGAATGCTGGCGGTGCTTTCACTCTAGTGGTAGCATGAGACGGAGTCTACAACCCACACGTGGCTCAAGTTGTGCAGCTCATCCAGGATGGCACATCAATGCGAGCTGTGGCAAGAAGGTTTGCTGTGTCTGTCAGCGTAGTGTCCAGAGCATGGAGGCGCTACCAGGAGACAGGCCAGTACATCAGGAGACGTGGAGGAGGCTGTAGGAGGGCAACAACCCAGCAGCAGGACTGCTACCTCCGCCTTTGTGCAAGGAGGAGCACTGCCAGAGCCCTGCAAAATGACCTCCAGCAGGCCACAAATGTGCTTGTGTCTGCTCAAACGGTCAGAAACAGACTCCATGAGGGTGGTATGAGGGCCCGACGTCCACAAGTGGGGGTTGTGCTTTCAGCCCAACACCGTGCAGGACGTTTGGCATTTGCCAGAGAACACCAAGATTGGCAAATTCGCCACTGGCGACCTGTGCTCTTCACAGATGAAAGCAGGTTCACACTGAACACACGTGACAGAGTCTGGAGACGCCGTGGAGAACGTTCTGCTGCCTGCAACATCCTCCAGCATGACCGGTTTGGCGGTGGGTCAGTCATGGTGTGGGGTGTCATTTCTTTGGGGGGCCGCACAGCCCTCCATGTGCTCGCCAGAGGTAGCCTGACTGCCATTAGGTACCGAGATGAGATCCTCAGACCCCTTGTGAGACCATATGCTGGTGCGGTTGGCCCTGGGTTCCTCCTAATGCAAGACAATGCTAGACCTCATGTGGCTGGAGTGTGTCAGCAGTTCCTGCAAGAGGAAGGCATTGATGCTATGAACTGGCCCGCCCGTTCCCCAGACCTGAATCCAATTGAGCACATCTGGGACATCATGTCTTGCTCCATCCACCAACGCCACGTTGCACCACAGACTGTCCAGGAGTTGGCGGATGCTTTAGTCCAGGTCTGGGAGGAGATCCCTCAGGAGACCATCCGTCACCTCATCAGGAGCATGCCCAGGCATTGTATGGAGGTCATACAGGCACGTGGAGGCCACACACACTACTGAGCCTCATTTTGATTTGTTTTAAGGACATTACATCAAAGTTGGATCAGCCTGTAATGTGGTTTTCCACTTTAATTTTGAGGGTGACTCCAAATCCAGACCTCCATGGGTTGATAAATTTGATTTCCATTGATAATTTTTGTGTGATTTTGTTGTCAGCACATTCAACTATGTAAAGAAAAAAGTATTTAATAAGATTATTTCATTCATTCAGATCTAGGATGTGTTATTTTAGTGTTCCCTTTTCTTTTTTTGAGCAGTGTATATCATTTTTTCACCTTTATTTAACCAGGTAAGCCAGTTGAACAAGTTCTCATTTACAACTGCGACCTGGCCAAGATAAAGCAAAGCTGTGTGATTAAAAACAACAACAACACATAGTTACATACATGCATACTCACTACCATTCAAAAGTTTGGGGTCACTTAGAAATGTCCTTGTTTTCGAAAGAAAAGCAATTTTTTTGTCCATTACAATAACATCAAATTGATCAGAAATACAGTGTAGACATTGTTAATGTTGTAAATGGCTATTGTAGCTGGAAACGGCAGATTTTTAATGGAATATCTACGTAGGCGTACAGAGGCCCATTTATCAGCAACCATCAGTCCTGTGTTCCAATGGCACGTTATAATAATAATATAATATGCCATTTAGCAGACGCTTTTATCCAAAGCGACTTACAGTCATACGTGCATACATTTTTATTTTTTTGTGTATGGGTGGTCCCGGGGATCGAACCCACTACCTTGGCGTTACAAGCGCCGTGCTCTACCAGCTGAGCTACAGAGGACCACAACACGTTGTGTTTGTTAATCCAAGTTTATCATTTTGAAAGGCTAATTGATCATTAGAAAACCCTTTTGCAATAATGTTAGCACAGCTGAAAACTGTTGTGCTGATTTTAAAGAAGCAATAAAACTGGCCTTCTTGAGACTAGTTGAGTACCTGGAGCATCAGCAATTGTGGGTTCGATTACAGGATCAAAATGGCCAGAAACAAAACTTTCTTCTGAAACGCATCAGTCTATTCATGTTCTGAGAAATGAAGGCTATTCCATGTGAGAAATTGCCAAGAAACTGAAGATCTCGTACAACGCTGTGTACTACTCCCTTCACACAACAGTGCAAACTGGCTCTAACCAGAATAGAAAGAGGAGTGGGAGGCCCCGGTGCACAACTGAGCAAGAGGACAAATAGACATTAGTGTCTAGTTTGAGAAACAGACTCCTCACAGGTCCTCAACTGGCAGCTTCATTAAATAGTACCCGCAAAACACCAGTCTCAACGTCAACAGTGAAGAGGCGACTCCGGGATGCTGACCTTCTAGGCAGAGTTGCAAAGAAAAAGCCATATCTCAGACTGGCCAATAAAAAGAAAATGTTTACATTTTACATTTTAGTCATTTAGCAGACGCTCTTATCCAGAGCGACTTAGTTAGAGTGCATACATTATTTTTTTTATTTTTCATACTGGCCCCCTGTGGGAATCGAACCCACAACCCTGGCGTTGCAAACGCCATGCTCTACCAACTGAGCTACCTGTCGGCCATTCCCTCCCCTACCCTGGGCGACGCTGGGCCAATTGTGCGCCGCCCCATGGGTCTCCCGGTCGCGGCCGGCTACGACAGAGCCTGGATTCGAACCAGGATCTCTAGTGGCACAGTTAGCACTGCGATGCAGTGCCTTAGACCACTGCGCCACTCGGGAGATATGGACAAAATAACACAGACACTGGACAGAGGAAGATTGGAAAAAGGTGTTATGGACAGACGAATCGAAGATTGAGGTGTTCGGATAACAAAGAAGAAGAACATTTGTGAGACGCAGACCAAATGAAAATATGCTGGAGGAGTGCTTGATGCCATCTGTCAAGCATGGTGAAGGCAATGTGATGGTCTGGGGGTGCTTTGGTGGTGGTAAAGTGGGAGATTTGTACAGGGTAAAATGGATCTTGAAGAAGGAAGGCTATCACTCCATTTTGCAACGCCATGCCATACCCTGTGGACGGCGCTTGATTGGAGCCAATTTCCTCCTACAACAGGACAATGACCCAAAGCACAGCTCCAAACTATGCAATAACTATTTAGGGTAGAAGCAGTCAGCTGGTATTCTGTGTATAATGGAGTGGCCTGCACAGTCACCTGATCTCAACCCTATTGAGCTGTTGTGGGAGCAGCTTCACCGTATGGTACGTAAGAAGTGCCCATCAAGCCAATCCAACTTGTGGGAGGTGCTTCAGATTACCTCAACAAATTGACAACTAGAATGCCAAAGGTCTGCAAGGTTGTAATTGCTGCAAATGGAGGATTCTTTGACAAAAGCAAAGTTTATTTCAATTAAAAATCATTATTTTCTAACCTTGTCAATGACTACATTTCCTATGCATTTTGCTATATTTCCTATTCAAACTCATTTCATGTAGGTTTTCATGGAAAACAAGGACATTTCTAAGTGACCCCAAACTTTTGAACGGTAGTGTGTGTATGTATATTACCAGTCTTTGTTTTGACTATTTTCTACATTGTAGAATAATAGTGAATACATCAAAACTATGAAATGACACATGGAATCATGTAGTAACCAAAAAAGTGTTAAACAAATAAAAAACATTTTATATTTGAGTTTCAAAGTAGCCGCCCTTTGCCTTTGACAGCTTTGCACACTCTTGGTATTCTCTCAACCAGCTTCATGAGGTAGTCACCTGGAATGCATTTAAATTAACAGGTGTGCCTTGTTAATTTGTGGAATTTCTTTCCTTCTTAATGCGTTTGAGCCAATCAGTTGTGTTTTGACAAAGTAGGGGTGGTATACAGAAGATAGCCCTATTTGGTAAAAGACCAAGTCCATATATAATGGCAAGAACAGCTCAAATAAGCAAAGAGAAATGACAGTCCATCATTACTTTATGATATGAAGGTCAGTCAATCCAGAAAATGTCAAGAACTTTAAGTTTCTTCAAGTGCAGTAGCAAAAACAATCAAGCGCTATGATGAAACTGGCTCTCATGAGGACCGCCACAGGAAAGGAAGACCCAGAGTTACCTCTACTGCAGAGGAGAAGTTCATTAGAATTAACTGCACCTCAGAAATTGCAGCCCAAATAAGTGCTTCAGAGTTCAAGTAACAGCCACATCAACATTCATGCTGAGGAGACTGCGTGAATCAGGCCTTCATGGTCGAATTGCTGCAAAGAAACCACTACTAAAGGACACCAATAAGAAGAGACTTGCTTGGGTCAAGAAACACGAGCAATGGACATTAGACCGGTGGAAATCTGTCCTTTGGTCTGATGAGTCAAAATTTGAGATTTTTGGTTCCAACCGTCGTGTCTTTGTGACGCAGAGTAGGTGAACGGATTATCTCCGCATGGGTGGTTCCCACCGTGAAGCATGGAGGAGGTTTTATGGTTTGGGGGTGCTTTGCTGGTGACCCTGTCTGTGATTTTATTTAGAATTCAAGGCACACTTAACCAGCATGGCTACCACAGCATTCTGCAGTGATACGCCATCCCAGCTGGTTTGCGCTTAGTCCCACTATCATTCATTTTTCAACAGGACAATGACCCAAAACACACCTCCGGGCTGTGTAAGGGCTATTTGATCAAGAAGGAGAGTGATGGAGTGCTGCATCTGATGACCTGGCCTCCACAATCACCCGACCTCAACCCAGTTGAGATGGTTTGGGATGAGTTGGGCCACAGAGTGAAGGAAAAGCAGCCAAAAAGTGCTCCGCATATGTGGGAACTCCTTCAAGACTGTTGGAAAAGCATTCCTGTTGAAGCTGGTTGAGAGAATGCCTAGCGTATGCAAAGCTGTCATCAAGGCAAAGGGTGGCTACTTAGAAGAATCTAAAATAGATTCGTTTAACACTTTGTTTTTGGTTACTACATGATTCCATATGTGTTATTTCATCGTTTTGATGACTTCACTATTCTTCTACAATGTACCCCTGGAATGAATAGGTGTCTAAAGTGGTTTAAGTGGTACTGTATATGTGTGTATACACCCACACACACACACTACCACTGACAAACTATCTGTTTTGCTATGTCAAATGTGACTTTTGGTCATGTTGTATTCATTATATTGTCTTCCTGTTTGTTTTCTACTTCCAGCTCACGGAGCTCAAGGCAGACTTCCAGTACCAGGAATCCAACATGAGGGTAAAGATGAACAACATGGAGAAGGCACACAAAGAGGCCATGGAACAGCAACAGGTAGAGACTAGAAATTACCAAACATACCTAAAAAAATCTATATACAAGAAGAAAAACTGACATCTTGTGGGCCATTGGCTACAAGGTTGGCCCAATTCTGATCTTTTGCCCAATTATTGGCAAATGGGTTGACCTGATTGGTCAAAAGACCAAATGGTGGAAAAAGATCAGAATTAGGCTGCCTGTATAAACGCAGCCATTGAGACAAGTTCCAACCCAATATGTTGACCTGTAGCCCCTCAAGCACATGTGATTCAAACAACTTTCCTAAGAAAGAGGCACAGTAGGATGTAATCAAACACTCCTAGCTTGTGCGGTAAACACTTTCATTAAACAAATGGTTACATATTCACTACTTTTCTTTTATTACAGGCCAAAAATCGGGAGCTGCTAAAACAAGTGGCCGCACTCTCAAAGGGCAAGAAGTTTGACAGAACAGGGAGTTCACTGCTGTTACCGTAACGACAAGCCCACCCAACCACAGCTCAGAGTGGCTTCATTGTTTTAACACTGTGAAAGCCTGATGCCATTTTCCCTTTCCCTCTCTCCTTCCTGTTTTCTCAATCATTTTGATCCTTTTCAGTTATGTTCTTCGTTGGAAAACCTGGTGAAATTTCAACATGTTTTAACCCAGAGTTTTTTTTCTGTCACTGGATGTGACTGCGGATGGAGGGAGGAGAGCGCCTCGTTAACACTGCCTGTGTCCAGTAGCATGGTTTGCGCAAGGTGGAAAAGATTCTGTCAACATCACAGAACCAACTTGATTTTTATAGATGTCATGCAATTTTATTTATTCAATTGTCTTTCGTAGTGTTTTCTCACCACATACTCAGTGCATTTCCCAGGTTTGGGGGATTTTTTTCTTCAACAGCAACTTTCTCGTAACATATTAGTTATATTTTTCTAATTGGACGTAATTATGGAATAGGAACTCTCCTCCTTATTGGAGACCCTTCTCAACTTACTATGTATGCAAATGTCTAAATGGTGTCCGACCACAGCGTTGCTGGCCAGCAGCAGAGACATCTTTCAACGTTAAAGTCCAAAAACCATGAACTCTTTGAGAGATTTTTAAACCTTGTTAATTAGACACCTCCCGGCTGCCCTCTTTCTCACTGTGACAGCTGTAGTGCTTCGCTGTTTCTCTGTAGTGGAACGATTGTAATACTGCATGACTTAGTGCCATATACAGGTTGGCATTGTGGTCTCATGTACTGTAATGTACTTGTACTTTTTTTAATCATATGTAAAGGTATTACAGGGGTCAGCCTATGTATTTAAAATGTGTAACTTGTATTGGTTTTAGTGAGTATGTGTAAGGCTGTTTTAATTATATAAATACATATGTAGAATACGGTTTTTAAAGGAACACAACTTTCACTTTACAGCTCTGGACCAAACTGGTTTCAAACTGTGGCGTACAGATCACTTTTGTACTTTTTTTCCAAACCCAATGTTTCAAAAAATATTAAATCTGGTTAAACATGTTTTTGTTTTTATTTCAGTGGCATTATCTCAGCAAGGAGTGGCTCTCTACTATTGGGCCCTGTAGCAATCCTGTATAATATTGTCAGACCCATGCATACGCCTGTACTTTTTCCTCTTCCACAAGAGCTGGTGTACGTGTCAAATGATAATCCCTGTTTGACCACTAGGTGGCAGTCGTTTATTTGCTTTACTCTATCAAATCTGACATGCTGATTCAAAGACTTTGCTCTACATACATTTTTACATTTTAGTCATTTAGCAGACGCTCTTATCCAGAGCGACTTACAGTTAGTGAATACATATTTTTTTATACTGGCCCCCCGTGGGAATCGAACCCACAACCCTGGCATTGCAAACGCCATGCTCTATCAACGCTACATCCCTGCCGGCCATTCCCTCCCCTACTCTGGACGACGCTGGGCCAATTGTGCGCCGCCCATGAGTCTCCCGGTCGCGGCCGGCTGCGACAGAGCCTGGATTCGAACCAGGATCTACATACAATGGGCGCATTGGACATAGCAGTCGACTTTAAAGGCGAGTCCAGACTGATTGATTGATTTACATATCACCTTGCATCACAATTTACTAGGGCTGGGAATTGTCAGGGACCTCACGATATCGTGTTATTACGATACTAAGGTGCTGATATGATAGGCTAATGTATTGCGATTTGATACTGTAATTGTATTGCTATTTGATGTTCCTAACATATTGCTCACCATAGGTCTGCTGCAGAGGGACAAAAGAGAGTAATGAGAAAATGAGTTTTGATCAGTCATGGGGGAAAAAGTGCTGAAAATCACAGTTTTGATGGTCTGGAACAAAGCCAATATTACCTGAGGATTTTCCAAAGAGAACAATAGAGAATTCTTCTTTATATCTGTCCCATTGTGGCGTCTGAGCGGATGGGCACCGCCAGTGAGGCCATCTCCATTTTGAAGTAGTCATTGTCCTTCTACTATACTATTAGTTACTAAACAAAGTGAAAGGGTGCATACTGACATCTGGAGAGTGTTCTTTGAAAAGGTATAAAGCCAAGGTTGGTGATTTACTGCCACCTGCAGTTATAAAATGTTTGCTCACTAGCATAATTAATTGGCTGAGGGCCTGGATGGAATTATGTGATGCTTCCTTAACCCATAGGAAGTCCCACCCAGTTGACTACTTCAAAATGGTGAATATCCTCAATGGTGCTGCCCATGCTAAAACTTTTGGGCACTAAAGTCCTCTATCGCCATTGGATTGTTTTTGTCTTAACCTTACAAGAGGGGCCTTTTCTCAATTAGATTTGCGCGACTCCTGCGTCCTGTCTCCTCCGTCCACTCTTGCCTCTTGAAAAAGGTCAAAGATAATTGAGAGTGAACGTGGACGAAAATGCGCTTGTATGAAATGAGAAGCAACTTCACTTGCGGGTCATCAGGCAAATGACATTTACTGGGGTGGATCCCACAATAAATGTGTAAAGTGGCACATTCCTCAACCACATCGATTTCCAGGTCACGGAGGAGAGAGGAGGGAGGACATACTTTTGCCCAAACGAGAAAAGGCCAGGGAATCAGCACAGTGGAATCTTGGGAGATTCTCAATTGGTTTGCTCAACTCTTCTGTCCTCTCCTCGCCTCCTTTTGAAAAAGGTAAAAGGTAGTCGAGGAGAGGAAAGTGGAAACAAATGCGCTTGTATGAAATGAAACTCTCCTTCACTCACTCATCATCATGCAAATGACGTTTACAGCGGTGGAATCCCCAATTGTGTAAAGTAGTAAAAAGACGTTTAACTAGTTGTATTTTATAGATAAAAGGATAAAAAGCATTTTGTTTTTAAATATGTGCATGCTATTCTCCTACGAGTAAACAAAAGTTGATTCAAAGGGGGTGTGGTGGATCTCAAAACTCTTCCGCGAAGGACTCATGTAGGATACTCTTGTGCTTCCTTAGTGGAAGGAGGCTGTCGAGGAGGCGAGGACACTCCTCTGTTTGCCAACTAACTAATTGATATTCTCCTCGACCACTTATCGGTTTCCTGTTCACAGAGGAGAGAGGACGGAGGAGTCGAGGAGAGGACAGTCTTTTGCTGAAATTAGAATCTCCCCTAGACTTGTGATTTCCATCAAAAAAGTTAAGTGAGTGCAGGGGGGGGGGGGGGGGCTTTGAAGGCCTGTCATCCCATGTCACTTTGTTTAGAAACCTGTTTTCTCTATTCAATTTACATATGTTATCTGGTAGTCATTCAAGATGGTATTCACAAACAGCAAACACATTGCAGTCCAGGGGCGCAACTTTCACTGGGGACAGGGGGGGACATGTCCCCCCCACATTCTGAAATTGCATTTTTGTCCCCCCCAGTTTTATAATTGGAATGTGATACAAAACGAGGCAACGGTGTGCTTTAGGACCATGCGGACACCTCCGAGCGGTCGGGTAGGCTGTTTGGAGTGTTTATACGACTGGATAAAATAAAAGATATGTCCCCTTCACTTCTAAAACGAAAATTGTGCCCCTGTTGCAGTCTATGGATCAGGTAGCTGTAGAAGGACATAAATGCTTCAGAAGGTTCAGCTGGGCTGAAATAAGGGTCAATAGTCCAGAATGTGGGTCAATGGGGGTATGAATGTGGATCAATGCATTGGGGTCTACACTCGGGTCGTCTTGACTGAGGTAGTATTATCTATATAGATGGTTATCTTTTCTCCTCCCCTCTTTGTGTCAATTACATTTACATTTTACATTTTAGTCATTTAGCAGACGCTCTTATCCAGAGCGACTTACAGGAGCAATTAGGGTTAAGTGCCTTGCTTAAGGGCACATCGACAGATTTTTCACCTAGTCGGCTCGGGGATTAGAACCAGCGACCTTTCGGTTACTGGCACAACGCTCTTACCCACTAAGCTACCTGCCGCATTCTGTGACGAAGATGATAACGTCATGCCAGTATATGGGAAGGGTTTTTAGGAGTTAGATTCACTTTTTTTCCTATCTCTGTCTTGGGGCATCCTTTTACATTTTGGTTTTAAAGTAATTGTCCAGTGTTTCCATATTTCTATGAAATACTTTTCCTTCCAAAAAAATGGTAATTAAGTATGTTAAAAAGCAGCTATTCTGTGTTGGAATGGTGTGGGCGTACCCCAACAACAGAATGGTGTGGGCGTTTACTAGTCATAAAAAATATTAATGTGAGTAGACCGCTGATTGGCCAAATCAGCCAACAAGGCAGGATGACATCATTCTCTGTAGAAATAGCAAGCATTTTTGAAACGTCTGTTTGAGATGCAAGTTTGAGGTGGGGTTTTTGAAGTGTTTTTTCTCCAATTTATGCTTTGGCCACAAATACGAGTATAAGACGAGTCAACAACATTATTTGGGTATGAGTTAACAGAATATGAACTTTAAAAAATGATATTTTCACAGGACAGTTACTTTCTTTAGACCCAATATATGTAGCCCCACATTTCTGGTTTTAGATTCTATGTTTTATTATACCCTTTACAATTTACGAAATCCTCCCCTTATGGAAAGAGTTCCACTGGGATCATTTTGCACTATTACAATGGTGCTCATGTAATTTACTGTTGATCATACACTATTTTGTCCTTCAGCCTTCCAATAATGTAAGGATAATAAGGTCATTACTGGCAAGGAATTCATATAATCAGCTTGACAAAAGCCATAAAGTTAACACAGCTTTAACAAGAGAGACAGGAGGTGAACATCCAAGTTGAATCTGCTCAAACTCATGCAGAGAAGAGAGAACAGCAATACTTATTCACAGAGCTCTGACAGAAAGAAAGGCACTCTGGACCTGTTCACAAAACAGGAAGTCAGTACTTCTGCCAAGAAAACCTGAATCAGACCAAAATATTTGTTTATATTAGAAGAACCAGATTACATTAGTCTCATCAATGAGTCTTAAAACTTTATGAACAAAGGCACACAATAAATCTGTGTTATTCATTGTGTGAACTGAATTGTGGCCAGGCATTGAACCTTGATTGCTGAGATATGAAATAGGAGTTGTTTATGAATTTGATTGTTATACTGCGATGTGTTGTAATGCATAATAAAGTAATCCTGACACAGTACAGAGAGTACTGAGAATCTGATATCCAATCAGAAGCCACTGGCTCCTGCCAGCTACCAATCTGAACTTCCTCTGTGTCACTGTCCATCAATGGAAACAAAATATTTTATTGCTTTGAAAAGTTCTCAGCGGTTAGGTATGCTCACTGTACGGTGCATACATATCTGTGGGGCAGACTGTAATATGCATAAACACAAATTGCAATATAGCCAAGCCATTTCCGCATAACCTCCCAACCACCTAGCTAACAGGGACTGGGAATAAGTATGTTGCTCTAGCCACAGCCAGTGATCTGGGCCTGGGTTTCCCAGTGAGCTCAGACAGGATCAGACAGGCTTCATTGTGTTGGGGGACCCTGTGTTATGATATGATTTATTCTTATGTTGCTGCCAGTGGGACTGAATTTTGTGTAAACCAGACCATTGAGGGCTACAAAGGAACTGGAAGAAAGGTGCACAGTCAATACCCACCTATTGGAATCAAAATGAGAAGCGTATGTGTCCTGTAGTAGGGACAGGTTTAAAGAAGGACACAAAAGGCACAAACTACCCACTGGGCACAGACGTCAGTTCAAGGTCTAGTTTTGATTTACATTTGGTTGAGTTGTCAACTAACATGAATTGAACGAGAAATCAACAAAATTAATCACTATGTCATTGGATTTAGGTTCAAATTTAGGGG